GTAGGCAGCAGTAACTGGCCTTGGCCACCTGTAGCCAGATCAGTCCAAGGTTTAAAACGTGGCTGAACTAGAGGGAAATGGGCTCGGAATAAGAGTTGAAGCAGCACTTGTAGCTAGAAGGATACAAGATTTACTTTCTCTGCCGGTGCCTGTGGCAGGCGTAGCCTCTGCCTGTAAATCAAGGCAAATATAGCTTGTTTATCCAGTCGTTGCAAAACGGAGTGCTAGTCATTCAAACTAAACCTGTTGTCTTGGATCCTCGCAGCAGGTGAAGCTTTGAACTCGCTCTTTTGTCCACAAACGGCTGTAAAGATGCCCAGTATGAATGAGCAAGATGAGCGGATGAGAAAGTTCAAAAACAAGGGCAAAGATGCAGCTGTAAGTATGGGGGGAAGGCTGGCCTCAGACCTGTAGTCAGAGGTGATGGCACAGCATCTCTTCACTGAGGTTTTTACTGCTTGGTCTGAAAAGGCTGCTCTTGCACCTCCTCAAGGCATGTTGTTCAAAACCTAATCGTGCATGATCTGCCAGGGCAAAGAAATTGTGCACTGTGCTTGGAAAAAGAGGGAACAAGCTGTAGCTATAATCCCCAGGAGACGGACTAGCCCTTTCCCTGCTAGTGAAAACTGGGTCTATGAACTTGTAAGAGGTAGGCTTTGTTTTTTACATGTGCTGGATAGGAAGTCTAAAATCTCTAGGCATGAATTTGTGGAGCAACAAACCAATTGGAAATAAAACTTCTTGCTTGGGATACATCCAACCAAGAGATGAGGTCAGTTTGTCCTCTACCTGTGCTGTCCCCAAAACAAAGAGTTGTATCAGGGGATGAATGATCACCACCTCTGCCTTGAAGGTGATCAAAGAGCAATGATTAATGACCACCAGAGCACCTACAGAGCTGCTTCCAGCAGAATGTGAAGGCTGTGTCCACACAAACACGGATGTTTCCTTTCCCCAGGGACAAGAAGCAGTGGCACAAGGTCTTGACCCTGGGGAGTGCCCATGCTATGTGTCCTCTGGTTTATGATGTGTTACCCTGGGCGGGGTAGGGGAGGCTGGGGCCAGCACAACTGCTGGCCCCAGCAGCCTTACCTAGGGGCCTTGGGGAATTGCAGCAGTGGCACTTCTGCAGCTGGAAGGTTGGCCAGCAGCCAGAGCATGGCTCTGGCAGGCCAGGCTCCAGTTCTGGGTGGCATGTGCTGCTGCCACGTGTGCCCCCCCACTTCTTTCCGTGTGGACTTTTTTGGCTCCGGATCTCCTGGGGTCAACACCCCCCACCTCCCTCCTCATGCTGCAAGGTAGCAGCACAGGGAATGCCTGAAGGTCTGCAGTGTTGGATGCAAGTTGTCTGGATGCAGCCAAAGAGTCTAAACTTAGGCTGAAATTCAAGCTGCCTAAGAAAAGCAACGCAGGCTATGCTTTGAAATTCAGTCCTAATGCTTGCATATACAAAAAGGCTTTTAATAGGAGAGAGGCAAGGATTTCTTTAGGTAATACCTTTTACCGGACCAGCTGCATAGCTGGGATAGTTAGGCAAGTTTTCAAATGCAAGACATTCTTCTTCAAGTTACTGTCTGGCATTTGAAAGCTTGTCTGGCTGCATTGGACAAACCGCAGAGTTGGGATAGAAAATAGCACCCAAAACAATCCTTGCCTCTTGCATAATTCCTAGACAACGTCTCTCTAACACTTACAATATGACTCGCTTCTCTCCTAGGCTATGAGACGGCAAAGGGTGGAAGTGAATGTTGAACTTCGAAAGGCCAAGAAAGATGAACAGATCTTAAAAAGGCGAAACATTACTATCACTTTGGAAGAGAGGCTCTCTCCAGAGCAGGAGAAGAATGCAGTGAGTAAAAGGGACTGCTCTCCAAAAGCAGTTTTAACTGCTTGCTTCAATAACCAGAAAACTTGCCTAGTTGCTAGTCAGTCTGTAGTGCTCACTGTATGGTCTGATCTACTCAAATCCTAGTCTAAGTGACTGTTTAGACTGGCCTGGCTATGAAACTCAGCATTTGCAGACTTTGTGGTCTGACCCAAGTTGCACTGGAGACCTTGCCCTGGGAAGACTAGCTGAAGTAAGCAAGGGCCTACAGAAACTGTCTAAGAGGACTAGCCTTCCTGTTGGGACTGCCTAAAATGCAGCTGGTTGTGTACCAGCAAGAACGTAACTATCAGCCCAAGCCTCTTAATTTGGGCTGATAGTTCCAAGGCAGCGGGATTCCCTTGGTGGCTTCAGGCTATTTCCCTGCCTGACAAGGGGGCTTTGACTTTTGCAGATTCTTCTGAAGCTTATGGGCTGCTTAGATGTGAAGTTGTGACTTGATCTAAATCTGAATGCTGACAAAGATTAATGGGAGATGTGGGCTCATTTGATTCCAAACTGTGTTTCTCTGTGCAGAGTGCTCAGCTTTCGTTGGAGGAAATAATCGAAGGTGTGAATGCAAAGAGTCTGGAGATTCAGCTGAAGGCTACTCAGGCAGCCAGGTATAGAAACAGAACCTTTCTGGCATGGAATAAACATGTTAATACTGTATAATGCCCATTATGTCCCTGGTAACTTCTGCCAAAGATGGATTCTTGTTCAAATGTCTTTCCCTAGATAACTTGACAAGGGATGACTAGACCAGAAGGATGCTCTGGTGGCTTGAGTTTGGTCTAGGTCGGTGGTGGGCAAAATGTGGCCTGGGGGCCAGATGCGGCCTGCCAGGCCATTCTATCCAGGCTGCGGCTCCCCTAAAAAATTTAGAAAATTAATATTTATCTGCCCCTGGGTGCCTATCGTGCAGCCCTCGATGGCTTGCCAAAACTCAGTAAGCGGCCCTCTGCCCAAAATAATTGCCTGTTCTTGGTCTAGGACTAGAGACCCAAGTACAAGCCTCTAGTCTATGCCACCACAGACTTCTGTATGACCTTGGGTGAGTGACTTGGCCATTCTCTGTTCCCCATGTATGAATTGGTGCTGATGGCCCTTTGAGAATGTACACCCCCATTTTGAGATGCTCACAAACTAAAGGGGCTGTGGGGGGAGGGAAAGGGGAAAGACTACTAAATACCTGAAAGTAAGGGAGGGGACTGGGGCTAGGGTTCAAAGGCTACAGAGCCCAAACCCTGAGCTAACTCCAGTGCCAGTCAGTGATATGATGATACTTCTCCTGTGTGGGCCCACACAAATTCCAGCCTTGACAGGAAGGGGAAATACTACTGCTACTCATGACTGAGAGTATATTGACCCACTGCACAGAGCCATAGGCATAGCACAGCCTCTGCTAGGCTTGCTTATTCCTTGCAATAGCTGGAGGCCTGGTCCAACCCAGGTGCTGAACTCTGCTCTGCTTCATAGCTTGCCTACTTGTCAAGGTAAATCACTCCAGTTGATCTCGCTGTCTGAATCTAAATTGTGGGGTGGTGGGTCTGCAGTACATGGATGAATGGAAGGGAAGGACCTCTCATGCAATGTACCCTGTTCATCCCACAGACGAATGCTGTCCAGACACAGGAACCCACCTCTCAATCAGATCATAGAAGCTGGGATTATCCCCAGACTGGTGGAGTTCTTGAGCCGTAACGACAACATTACCTTGCAGTTTGAAGCGGCGTGGGCGCTGACTAATATTGCTTCGGGGACATCTGACCAGACTAGAGCCGTTGTGGAGGCAGGGGCTGTCCCAGCTTTCATAGACCTCCTGTCCTCTCCACACATGCATATCAGTGAACAGTCTGTGTGGGCGCTGGGCAATATAGCAGGTAAGACACCCTCACGCTTCCATGATGGTAACCTATGCAACAATTCCCTCCCTAGGCCTCTGAAACTTAGCATGTAAATAGTAGGCACAGCTATTGCTGAGTTAGTGCCAGGAAGTTGTTTTTTTAAGACTATAAATAGTTAATTTAGTTATTTCCTCAAACTAGTCATGCTTATGCCAAAACCCTCTGGCATACTGGTACTGTAGCACAACCCAAGGTCTGTGAGGGTTGTTAGATCATGAAAGCAGGATAACTCATTTAGCTTTAAACTGGTGCTATTTTTGTTTGCCCCTTTATCACCTTCACTTCTGATGAGAGGCAGGGTGTGTGTGTGTGGGGGGGGAGGTCTCCCTTTTACACTTCAACTGCATCTTGATCTGAAAAAAGCTGCTCAATCATTCCCCCCACTTGAGAATGAATAATTATGGCTCTAGTTATTGTACCAAATAAGCACTTCATTAACTATTGTTGGCTTACACTGTAGGTAGAGATACAGCCCACATCAGATATTTATTCTCTCGTGCTTCAAACTATTCTGATCTTTTCCACAGGTGATGGTCCCCTGTACAGAGACTCCCTTATCAAGTGCAATGTGATTCCCCCACTGCTGGCTCTGGTGTCGCCTGCTACTCCAGTAAATGTTCTACTAATTCCTTGAACTGGTAGCTGTAACTCGCATGAAATAATGGCTGACCTGGGATTAGTCATTTCTTGTAACAAAGCCAAACCTTAACCCATTTGTGTAAGGTAGGCCAGGCTGTGATTAAACCAGAACTGGGGACAAGAGGCTTAGAGAAAAGGATCTCTTTGCCTTGTAATCTAATGGTTACTCTTACTGCCAATTCTTCTTTCCTCCAAGAGGAGCAAAAGCCACAGATCCCCACATCCAGATGGGGAATTCTATGCCAGTTAATGGTAACTGTCCAGTACTACACCTCTGGATTCTCCTTTCTGTACCCCATGCCTTTATTCAAAAGGATCAACATTTTGACTGGAAATATTTCTTAAAGATGAGATGAGACAAATAGCAACACTGATCTAAAACCTCTTGCGCTTTTCTTGGTTCTGTACCAAACAGAACCAGAAGCCATATATCAGTATGAGCAGGGATGGAGGAGTAATGAGGCTCTTAAGCCAGCACTCAATAGCTTATTCATTTTTGGGAAGGAGTCATAGAAGGGAGATCATGCAGGATCTGGACTGCCTGCTGACTGACTTGGAGAATGTAGGTTTGCAATGTTACATGACCACTTTCTCTTGTTTCAGATTGGGTTCCTACGGAATATCACATGGACACTGTCGAACCTCTGCAGGAACAAGAACCCGTACCCTCCTCTGGAAGCAGTGAAGCAGATCCTGCCAGTGCTCGTCTGCCTTTTGCAGCATGAAGACAAGGACATTCTCTCTGACACGTGCTGGGCAATGTCCTACCTGACTGATGGATCCAATGATCGCATCCAGATAGTGGTGGACACTGGGAGTCTTCCAAGACTTGTGCAACTCATGGCCAATCCAGAGCTGATGGTTTTGGTAGGTTAAGATCATGCCTGTGGAAAGGTGGTGCTTGTTCTTCATGTGCTTGGCTCTTTGATGAGAACAGCCTTCTGTGACCAAGGGAAACCTTTAATGGCAAGAGCGCTCCCTTCTAGAGCCAGAACTGAAATGTATCAAGGAGCAGTATACCTACCTCCTTTCTGTTGACCATAACAGGAGTAAGTCTGGATGTAGCTTTGCTTCTTAAATCGTTCCCTTATTTTTGCTTATCGGCACTGACTGTCATGTAATGAGCCAACTCTAAGCATCGTGCAGCCCACTGTCATAAGAACACATGAATATGCAGCCATAATTCAACCCTAGTAAGAGACCAGTCACTGACTGGAGTGCTCTGTTGGCCTGTCAGTAAAGGAGACACGATTGTTGAATGAGGGAACTCTAGGACTAGCTCGCCTCTTGGCAGAAGTCGCTTGGGGAAGCAGGAGTTTCCTTGGCTAACTAGTATCTTCCCTTTCTAGACTCCTTCTCTACGTGTTATTGGGAATGTAGTCACGGGGACTGATGAGCAGACTCAGTCGGCCATTGATGCAGGCGTCTTGGCCATTCTGCCACAACTCCTGCGACACTCCAAGCCAACTATACAGAAGGAGGCAGCATGGGCACTCAGTAACATTGCAGCAGGACCTTGCCGGCAGATCCAGCAGCTTATTACTTGTGGACTGCTACCTCCTCTGGTGGAGCTGCTGGATAAGGTGAGAGGACAGTCTTGGAGGCCAAGGTGGGGTTTCCATTACTGTGAGAGCTGTGTGGAGTAACTGCTTCCTGGTCATGGAGAGCTCCTGTGTTGAGATGCCTTCTGGACTAGGCAGAACAGTCCATACTTCTCATACACTTGAGGTGTACTGACTTATTCGCATGCTTTGGAGTTGCAGAGGTGGCTGATGCAGCCTTCTTGCATGCCCGTTGTGAAGCAGCTCAGTGCAGCATTCTCTCCTTCAAAGCCTATATCCAATATTTGGCTTATTTCAATAAGTGTGCAGCCTTTGTTCTGGTGTCAAGGAAAAACATGAAAACCTGTAGGAGAGATTCAGTTTAATAAAAGTAAGTATTTAATGTGGAAGCTCCATCTGTGCCTATTTTGCAGGGAGAATTCAAAGCTCAGAAAGAGGCTGTGTGGGCAGTGGCCAACTTCACAACGGGAGGCACCGTGCAGCAAGTGGTGGAACTTGTCCAGTCTGGGGCTCTCAAGCCTCTGCTCAATCTGCTTTCTGCCAGAGATGGCAAAACCATCTTGGTCATCCTTGATACAATATCAAACCTCTTCCTGGTAAGCTCTTCGCTCTCCCTTGCCAGTAAGTTGTGCCCTTTTTCTAAGGGACTTCCCAAACTTGTCATGCCACACTCAGCCTATTGGTTCTGCTCTAGAAATGGGATGTAGGTGTCAGAGGTAACATGAGAACACCAGTCTGATCCTCCATGATAGTGAAATATCAGGTCTTTAGAACAACAGTGTAAAGTTTGATAAACCTAGCACTGCCTTCACTTGGCTGCCATCTGTTTAAAGCCGTGATTCTCAACCAGGATGCCATGGCACCTGGGTTGCTTTGAAGGGTGCCACACCATGTTTGCGCTGTCAGGTGTGCAAACATTCACAAGATAATCCCAAAGATTTTGAGTTCCCTGCAACAGAAGAACTGCTACATCTACTTTTTTTCTGTAATCAAGAAAACAGTGGCAACTAAGAGCTGGCACTTGCCAAGAGGTGTCTTGAGTCTGGAAAGGCTGCGAACCACTGCTTTGAAAGGCTTGCACTGCCAATCTTGTTCCATCAAGAGCAAGTTAATGTGGAGTTGCATCTGGTTGTGTGTCAATATTATCCCACCTCTGGAAATGGGGAGTAACTTGCTGGTGTTACTTGCCTGGCATATTTACACAACACAAGCTAATGCTCTTCCCCAAAAAGCACAGAGATGAGACCAGCTGTTACATTTGTCATTGTCCCTTCTGAGCCAAGTACCTTAGTGTGGCTTAATGATTAATAAGTAATTGAGCTTGGATGCCCTGTTGTGGCATTGAGAGCAATTAAATGGCTCATTGGTCAAGCGGAGTATCTGGATGCAGACTTTTGTTTACACTGTACTGGCTCTGGAACTTGGGCATATCCATGCCAGCTTGGGTACCACTATTAGCTAGTCACAGTTGGCACTGAGCTCTATGAATTACCCAAGTATTGACCTAGCTTCTTTGGCAGGTCTTGCAGTCCTCTGCAGCCACAGCTACCTACCAGCACTCAAGCTAGCTTCAGTATATACTAGACTACTCTGGATGGTAGACATACCTTGGACTCTCCATTATCCTGCATGCCAGATAGCTCTAGGACAAGATGTTCTGCTAGAAATTAGAGTGATTTATATAGCTTAAGTAGAGAAGAGAATGTAATGTATTCATTGCTAATCTCCTTGTTCCTTTGTTCACAGGCAGCAGAGAAGCTGGGAGAGACAGAAAAGCTCTGTGTCCTTGTGGAAGAGCTTGGTGGCTTAGAGAAAATAGAGGCACTACAAACCCATGACAATAACATGGTCTATCGAGCTGCTTTGGGTCTCATAGAGAGATACTTTGCTGGTGAGGTATGTGGATTGTTTTTTTTTGTTTGTTATATCACTTGATGGCCAGATGGGGAGAAGAGTTGCCGTATGTGGCTCTTTGCATAGTGTTTCTGGTATAGAGCCTGTTTGGCCAGGCTTTAAGGAGAATGTAAGAACTGCACCACTGATCAATCTTCAGTTCCTGCTGGGGCTCGCTCAGGTTACAGGTAGCTTTAGCTAGTGACCCAAGACACTGGGAACTCCAGTACTTGAGTAAATCTTTAACTTCACTTCCAGCAAACTCAGCCAGATAAGCTCTTGCTTCTGGTGTCCCAACCTGATCAATGAGATAGGCATGGAACAACAGAGTTGCTCTGCAGAGGTAGTTGCCTTGCTGACCAATTCTGGTGCTCTTCCCCGAGTCTCACAACACAGTTGACTTAGGTTTTTCCCTGCTACAACAAACAGCTCATTTACGCATGCATCCCCACTGACTGACTGTCATTACCTAGAGTTGGGAGGGTAATAGAGTTCAGGAGAAGGGAGAAACGGACTTGGCTCTTGACCAGCGTTGTGAATGGCTAACCTTGCCATGCAAGCTCAGGTGAGGAGTATCCATCTCTCCCTAGGAGAATCCAGGCTTTCAGCCAGAAGCTGACCAAGACAGACAGATGTTCAACCTCTCAGCAGAGAAGCAAGACTTCTATGACTTCTGAGAACGGAGCACTGAAATGGCGGGGAGGGGAAGGTGCATTCTACTACGTGTTCTCTAAGGGTAAAGGTGAGGGGGGTCTTTTTGTATTTCTGAAACATAACAATAAATCTCACTTTCTGGATTTGTACTACTAGCTTCCAAAGCTTCGTTCCCAACTTGTGCGGTGATGATTTATGCAGGGTTTGTCCTGATTTGTAACGAGACATGAGACCAGACCATGCATTTTGAGGTAAAGGACATGGATAGAAGACTTGTATGATCTGTCTTGCAGATAAACTCCTCTGTATTGTGAGCTAGGTTAGAAGCTTAGCTTAGAAGGCTTTGAGCATAAGGAACTAGTTTAATTCCAGCTCCTTATCTGGTCACTTGTTATAAAGCTCCCAGATGATAACCCTGGAAGTATCTGAAAGCACTGAAGAGCTGTGTCTCAGTCTGCCTACTGTTGGTAAAATGCTCAGTCCATCAGAAGAGGGAACACTTCCTTCTCTTTAGCAGTTGCAGGGGAGACTCCAGCACTTCGGAGAACTAGTTTCTCAACAGCTGATCACCTGTGTCTGCATCTCATGGGTATCTCTCCACAAATGAACTGGGTCCTTGTGTGCACTGGGAAAGTGTCTGCTACAGTGAGGACAAACTGACTTCTTTTGAGGAGCAGCTGCATGATAGAATTTATTTTTCCCCTAACAATACTTAGGGAAGATTATATAGATATAGAGAGCAGAAAGCCAAACAGATGAGGCAGGATTAAGGATTGGAGTGGCATTCAAAAATTTAAAAAAATAGAGAGAGAGAGATCTCTATCTCTATTTCTTTCTTTTTAAACCTCTATGCCTTTAGACTGGGAACAGTAGCTCCATGATCCTTAGGGTGAGATGGAGGTAATTGCAGTCCAAGTCTATACCAAAGTGTGGTGACAGAGCTGGTGTTGTTCAAAGTGGCACATGTTATTAATAACAGGGTAATTATAAGCTCTCTAATGCAATTAACCTAAGCAGTGGCAGTAGCTGGTGAAAGACTGTGGACATTACAACACTTGGCAATTAGCCACTTAAAGGTTTGGTCCATCCCTGCGAGTCCCAAGAGGATTCCTGTTTCGGAGACTGCCTCTGCTTCTGAGTTGACTGTACAGCTCGGCCCCTCTTACTGCTGGTGAGGTTGCACAAGCAGGTGCAGTTAAGGCTGCTCATGCAAGGGTCTGGAGGTCTGAGGGAATCTGATTTCAGAATGGGTCATGGAAGGTGAATATAAAGGAGGAAAATGATCCTTTGACTGATTAGGAAACTAATGGTTGGGCTGCTAATGGCTCTGCTGCAGTTCGAGCTCAGCTAAACAAATAGCCGTTTGGATTGCTCCAAGGTAAACTGCAGCCCGGCTCCTCTCCTAGTGCTTTTGCTTGAAAACGCTCCCATAGAAAAGACGCCCTTTTGGCAAAACCTGCCTCTCTTTTGTGCTTTTTTTTTTTGTGTGTACGCTTCCCATTATTGCTGTGCCCTCTCTTTCCCTCAGAAGGAAGCTACCTTGGCTGGGTGGTAAAGAGATAGGATGTAGTCTGGCTTAATAAGCAAGGGGTTGTTGCCAAAGTTTGAATGGTTTTCAGTTGGTTTAGGCCAGATGTGGCCAACCTGCACTATACATGCCACAAGTGACATGGGCAGCCTGTGTGGCACACAACAGATCATGGAGGGAACAGGCAGCACAGCAACAGGTAAGGCAGGGAGCAGAAAATGGAGCAGCAGGAGTGCAGGACAGGGAGCAGAAAGCCAAACCAATCAGGCAGGATAAAGGATTGGAGTGGCATTCATAGAGGGTGCAGATGTAACTTGTGGTATACCTCCCAAAAAGGCTGGCTCCCATTGCTTTAGGCCAGGGGTGGGCAATTATTTTGGGCAGAGGGCTGCTTACTGAATTTTGGCAAGCCATCAAGGGCCACATGCCAGGCAGCCAGGGGCAGATAAATATTTTTTTTTAGGGGTCTGGTGGGCCACATCTGGCCCATGGGCTGCATCTTGCCCACCCCAGTTTAAGCTATATTTAATATGGGGATGCTTCAGCCCTACTGCACAGGATTTGTAATAGCTTTTGCTGCAGAGAGGACTGCTCCATCACTGAGGCCATGCTGCCACTTCTCTGTGGGAGGTTGTGGCCCAAATCCTATGTGCATTGCAAGCTTCCATCCCCCTAATTTGGCTAACAATGGCATGGATGTTGCAAGCTTAAATTCTTAAAAGCAGAAACTTCTTTTAGCAGAAGTGGGATGCAGTGGCAGCAGATGAGCCTTGTAACTTGCTTGAGGTGGGTCTAAACATGCAATATTGACCACAAGATGCATCTTGCATGCCTGACTAAATCTGGTCAGAAGACTATATTATTTGTAATGGGATATGAGGGGGGAAAATTTTTGGTTTTGCAGCCTTCTGTTTAACAGCTGAGTTTCAACAGAGTACAAGCCGGCTTGCCTGCTAGCTGCAGGGGCTTTGAAGGGCAAGGAGGTAGTCATAACTGAAGCACCATCTAAGGATTAGATGGCAGCCTGATCATCTAATTGCAGTGGAAGATGTGCTTGCTACCTAGTGGCTTTGACAGTGAGACTGAGAGGGTGCAAAGTGGCTATGTTTGAGGGTGGGGAGGGGACCTTTGGTGTGATGCAGCTCTCCAATTGCTTCTCAGCCCTCCCTAAAATCTACTGTAATTTAAGACTTTGTACCCCATTCAGGTTTCCTTTGGGGGAGAGGAAGAGTCCTTTTTTTTTTTAGATTCATATGCTATAGCCTGGGTTACAAACCTAATTTAGCCTGGAAAATGATGCTAGTATTTCCCCTCATTATTTACCTTGCTCTAACAGAAGAGTTAATAGGCCAGAGACTTGGCATGCACATGCTGTCTGGTCTGGTGAGAGGCATACAGTTTTAATCATGTGCGTCATATCTGAGGATCATTCTACCCTGTTGAATATTAAAATGTTAGAGCTGGGGCATGGTAAATGGTCCTAGATTTATTTGTTTTATTTTATTGCCAAAACCCCACAGCAAATCATTAAATTTTGTGTGATAAGGGGATGCCTGAAGAGGTCATCTTAAAACAATTATACTTTTTTAAAATCTTGTTTCTGCCACTAGGTTCATAGAAAAAGGCTCGGCTCGGCTCAGCTCAGTTGTGTGCTCCTTGTAGTATAACACTGCTGACAAGGTGGCTGCTGCATCTGGAAAATATTGTATTTCACCAGGTAAAAGGGATCCGAGGGAGATACCTCTCCCTGGTGTAAATGGATATGGAGGTAAGGAGCAGATTGCAGTGCAATTCTGCCTTGAGATTAGATTACTGCAAAGTGCTCGGTGGGGCTGTGCTGTTTTATAATCTCCCACCGGTGGTCTGGCAGCAGCAGAAGTGTTAGCACAGATTGTCTGTCTGGTGCTCCCGCCGCTACGTAGAATGGCTCTGGCAGTGGCAGCAATTCTAGACAACCTGGAACTAGTCTGGGTTAGCACTTCTGCGAAGACTGTCATTGGAGACTTAAGGTGTGCAAGGTAACCCAGGCTCCTGCCACTGGACTTCAGTTTAGCAAGGAATGCAGTTGGCCATACACCAAATGCTGCCACATTCAGATGGCCTATTCCGTGGATGGCTCCCCAGTGTCTCCCAAGACTAGATAGCCTGCTATGCCTACAGGCATCTGGCACTGCCCTCTTATTCATCCATCTCTGCATACAGTCATGTTGTAGGTAGGTATTTCCACCTTTACTACAGCCAGTTAAAGTCCAGCTGCACCAAGTCAAGCTCAGTTGAAGGAGGAAATTCATGTGCTCTTCCCTAAATGGGCTAGATTTATGTACGCATTCATTTGCTTCAACCCTTTCAAATGATAGGAGTGAGTGAATGATCACCAGAAGGCTTCTGCCTGTAACGTGCCAGTGCAGGCAGATGCAGTGACATACCCATTCAGGGTTATCTTCCCTTGCTATAAATGACAATTCAGTGGGTAAGGAGACCTCTCCTCCAGCTATTCCTTTCCAATCCCAAATGAATTACTCTGCCACCTGATTTACACTCTTTTATTGTAATTTGCTTGCCTCGCTGGCTTTTGGCTGTGTGCAAATGTGATTTATCCTCTGAAAAATGTTTAATATAAGGTAAGCCCTAGAGTGGAGTTCAGATGCTTGAAGTATTAGAGAGAAGATCCAGACTTCATGCATTGCTTTATCAGATATACACGATCAATGAAACAAGAAACCACAGCAATGCTAGAAAGTCTGAAAGATAAATCTCGAAAGGAAGGATTTGAATGAATAAAAGCCAAGCAGTGTGCTTTACTTTGCCTATTGCACCTGAACCTGTTATTTAACTGTACAGTCCAAGGTGCCTATAAATTCCTGGAGTCTTCCTTTCACTGCAGCCAGTAGTCTCCCTGGAAATTGCAGCATATTTTCCTCCCTCTTCTGCCTCAATGACACCCTATATAGAGAGAGATTCATGGAGTTGGCTCAGCAAACAGACTGTAACATCTACAGCTATTGTACCTCCAAATGACAATCCACAGATGAAAATAAGCAGTGAGGAAAATCTGCTACTGGGAGACAAGGCATTGGAGATCAGTATAACATATGTTCTGGAAATCAAGCAGCAAGGGTTTGGGGTTAGTCATAAATATCCTTGCCTTGTTTCTCATTCCTGAATATGCTTAAAGTGATAGAACCCTTGGAGTGAAAATGTCAGGCTGTCTGGTCCCTGGCTGAGGTATGAATTTAATTAACAAATGCTTATCCAAACCATGGAAAGCACTACACACAGGGTTATCAGCTGTGGATTGAAGGTCTAGATAGTGACATTTCATACCACGTATGAAAGAATAAGCAAAGTTCAATAAAATCGGTGGTTTAAAATCTATAGAATCTCTTTCCAGTGCAAGAGTGGCTACTTTGAAATCCAGTCTGAATTTATTTACAAGAGAGAACTTGAAACAATTGTGTCCGGCAGCTCAGCTGTCCCTGTAGTTCAGGCACCTTCACGTGCATTTCTGCTTGCTTTGATTACTCTTTGCTCCAAAAAAGGAGCTTAGAAAGCGTGTGGTCTTAACCTACATGAGGGGTGAGCCACGCTACTTCCATCTACCAAGCGCAGATGATG